TACAAGCTATGATGATCTGAGAACTGTGGATGGAATTATTCATAATACATATCGCGAGACATGTTTCGCTTTAGGGTTGTTGGACGATGACAAGGAGTACGTTGAAGGGTTTTCAGAATGTAGTTATTGGGCTACTGCATGGTTACTTAGAAAGTTGTTTGTGATCTTATTGGCAGCAGATACAATGAGTATACCAGAATATGTGTGGGACAAGTGTTGTACATTTATGTCAGATGACATTCTACACAGGCAAAGAAGAGCGTTAATGCATCCAGGTACTAAACAATTTTAATTTCAAACATACATATACCTATACACAACTATGAATGTGTGTGTGTGCATGTATATTCAAAACCATACATTATATATTACACATGTTATTTGATAATGGTCTTTTCATACGTGTAATATCAGATTTGAAGTTGACCGAGGATGAGATTAAGAGTTATGCATTGACTGAAATAGAAATGATGTTGAGAAGGATCGGTAGGACTTTAAAGGACTATCCATCAATGCCATTTCCCACGATAACTGATACTGCCATGTATAAAAACAGACTGATTTTTGACGAATTGCAATACGATCGTGCTGCTCTACGTGAAGAGCATGACAGATGCATACCGAGTCTCAATGATAAACAACGTCAGGTGTACACAACCATTATGCGATCTATTGAAAAAAATAGTGGTGGGGTGTTCTTTGTATATGGTTATGGAGGTACAGGGAAAACGTTTGTGTGGAAGACGTTGTCAGCTGCTTTGAGGTTCAAAGGAGAAATTGTTTTGAATGTTGCTTCAAGTGGCATAGCAGCTTTATTGTTACCAGACGGTAGGACGGCTCATTCACGCTTTGCAATACCAATCAACCCTAATGAAAACTCCACGTGCAACATCAAACAGGGTAGTGCACTTGCTCAATTGATCATTCGTTGCAAACTGATTATATGGGATGAGGCGCCGATGATGCACAAGTATTGCTTCGAGGCCTTAGATAGAAGTTTACGGGACATCTTGAGATTCACTAATTCAAATAGTGATGAAAAAATATTTGGAGGGAAAACTGTGGTATTCGGGGGAGATTTCAGACAAATTTTACCTGTCGTTACAAAAGGAACTAGACAAGACATTGTGAATGCCACGGTTAATTCTTCCTATATTTGGGAACAGTGCTTGGTATTACGTTTGACGAAGAACATGAGGTTGCAATCATTGACGGGTGATCATGAATATGAAGATTTGCTTGAGTTTGCAAAGTGGATTGCGAGTTTAGGGGACGGGAATGTGGGGGAAGATAATGATGGTTTTGCCGATGTTCAAATTCCAAAAGAGTTTTTGTTAGAGTGTGGAAGCGACCCCATTGCCACTATTGTCCACAGCACCTACCCAAACTTTGAGAATATTGTCAATGACCCGACGTACTTGCAACACCGCGCAATCCTGGCTCCAACCCTCGATGTTGTAGATGCAATCAATGAATACATGACTTCTCTGAATGTTAACGAAGAGTCAAGAACCTATCTGAGTTCAGATAGCATTTGCAAGTCAGACTCCAATGCTGATTTTCTGGCTGATTTACATACTCCAGAATTTCTGAACAAAATAAGAGCGTCTGGAGTTCCAAACCATGAGTTAACCCTCAAGGTTGGTACTCCAATAATGTTTTTAAGGAATATTGATCCTTCGATGGGTCTTTGCAATGGAACAAGGTTAATTGTTACACGACTTGGAAATCACATCATAGGGGCAAAAATCATGGGCGGGAAATATGCGGGACATGAAGTTGTCATTCCGAGGTTGAGCTTAACTCCTTCGGATTCAAGAATACCGTTCAAGTTTCAGCGAAGACAATTTCCCGTCATGACCTCTTATGCGATGACTATAAATAAGAGTCAAGGACAATCTTTGACTCATGTTGGACTCTTATTGAAAAAGTAGGTGTTTACACATGGTCAACTTTATGTTGCAGTGTCAAGGGTAACAAATCCTAAGGGTTTGAAGATATTAATATGCGATGAAGATGGTCAACCAACGTACCATACCACAAATGTTGCTTATAAAGAAGTTTTTCGCAATGTGTAGACTGTGAAACACTATCTAACATTTCCTTTTATCTACTTATTCCAACATATACTTACTATCTATCTCTGAGTTTTCAATATTCAATTAAAAGTTTTAATGCATGTTTCGAGTAACACAATTTCCAAACATTTCACACGCGTACATTGTTTACAAATAATATCATATGACTATTTCATTCTTATATCCCGCGCATCGCGCGGGTGAGAATCTAGTTCTCTTAAATACAAAGATTAATTATGAAACGTTTCTCTCTTGACTCTTGAGCTTCGGTTATCTTCTGGCATCAAACATCAACTTGTGTGATATATAAAAACTTTAGTTGGTTGCCTTGCTTAGTTAGAGAGAAGAATGTTCAATCCCACTTTGTTTATTTTTGAGAGCACTACATACGAGCTAAAAACTCTCTCACGCGACGGTTCTTTGCTGGCTGGATTAATTTTTAATTTACTCTCGTTGTTCTGTTACCGGCTTACGCCGAAGAGCTCGTTTTATTTTGGGAAAAGATTTTCGCTAGTCGGAAATACTTTCTTGAGGACAGCGTTTATGTGACTCGAGCTATATTATTTTCTAACGCTTTTTTGCAGGTTTATCCGGCCCATTTTCACCAACATACACACACACACACACACACACACACACATAAATGATCACATCCAAATGTTCGGACCTGATCTTCCGTCCGAACACCGCCGTTCGGGGCGGTTTCCGGTCGAATTTTTTATGAATTTCTTATGGTATGTTCTTCATCAACTCTAGTTTATTCATACCAAATTTCAGCTCAACATTCGATCGGGAAGGCCTTCAAATGATTTTTTGAAGTTCACTGCGCCAAATTATACATAGAAAAAAGAAGTCATTTGTTTGGGCTCCACCGGGTTGGGCTTGATGCTTAGGAGGGTTTGGGGGGCGGGGGTGAGGGGGGGTCAGGGATGGGTAGCTAAGCAAAAAAAAAAAATTAACCAAACCCGAGGCCCGGCCCGGCCCGGCCCGGACCCGGGCCGGTCCCGGGTCCAGCTATATAGAACCGCCGGCCCGACCGGGCCTAGGCCCGGCCCGAGTCCAACCCTATGTCCAACTAGACGATTGTGCACTTAATTATGACTTGAATAGAATATTGAGATGAAATTCCTATACCCAACCAAATTTTAGTTTATCTCCAACCAAACACACATAAGATTTGTTTGATTCATATTAATTGCAACATACTCCAGTATCATATTCCATATAACCACACATTAGTACATTACCTATAATTCCTATAAACTATTGAGAACAATGCTATGGGAGCATAAATTCCAGAATTCAGAATCTTACATTAAGGAGTCAAATCTGTTCAAAATTAGAATCTTAGTCAGCTAAACCAATTCCAATTCTAGGTCAGTTCCAATCCAATTCCGATCCCAGTGTTAGCCTCTATTCTAATGACATGTGAGCCGATAGATTCCAGCCCTATTTTAAAATAAGAAACGGGTTGGGCCGTTCTGGTCTGAACTAGGGATGGATTCGATTCGGGCCACCCGGCCCGTGACCCGGCCCGGCCCGGTACTGTGCGGGCCCGGGACCGGCCCGGTCAGGCGGTCTGGGACCGGGTATGGGCCCGAACCGGGGGGAAGGGGTGGGGCGGGCTCGGTTCATCATTTTTGTGACCCGGCCTGGCCGGGTCGGGCCCGGGCCCGGGTCCGGGTCTATTTTTAAAAAAAAAAACTTTTTTTTTATTTTTGGCTACTAGCCGTTGAGGCCTTGGGGTGGGGCTGGGGACAACCCAAACGGCTATATAGCCGTTGGGTGGGGTAAAGGGGGGGTCCGGGGGGTTGGCTGGTAGGGGGTGGGGGTGGGGGGGGTGGGGGGTAAAAAAACCTATAAATACTCCTACTCTTAAACATTTTTTCATATCTCTTCTCCAATTCTTCCTAAATCATATTCTTAACTCTCTACTCTCTAATTCTCCTATTCTCCAATATATTATATATCTACTCTCTAATTCTCTTCTCCAAGAAGTTAAGATGGAAAATCAAAATGCCCTTATACGGTATAATTTTGATAAGCAGAAGGACCCGAAGACCGGGATGTGGTACGCAATTTGCAAATGGTGCGAAAAAAAATGTATTATGGGGGCTTCAGGCGGATTCGGGATGGCAATCAAGCATATGAAGTCATGTGACAAAGCCAAAGGATCGGGAGGTGCGGAAAGTTCCGATTGATTACAATTTTCAAAATGTTTATCTCTTAAAATTTGTTTTAATTTTCAAATGTAGTTCCTATTTCATTTCAAATAAATGCAATTGAAGTTTGTTTTTAATACTCGTATAAAACTATAAACTATAAAATATAAAATATAAATTATAAAAAAAAAAAATTAACCGGCCCGGCCCGAACCGGACCCAACCCGTGACCCGGGCGGGTGGCCCGGCCCGAACCGGACCCGTCCAACCCTCGGGCCGGTCCCGGGCCCACTGTTCTTGAACCGGCGGCCCGACCGGGCCTAGGCCCGGCCCGAATCCATCCCTAGTATGAACTGTAAAACGGGCAGCAATTACGTGTTCAACTCCTCTACCCGAGTGCACGGCCATTTCCAACCCAACATGCATTACATGAAGTATTCCTACGAACTAGATAAACACTATTAAATACGAACAAAAAAAAGAGTTAACAGCATATACCAGCGACAGATGTGTTGAAATAGTATCATCATTTGTAAAACTAACAATTTATAAAACTTCATGTAGGATAAGGATGTTTTTTACTTGAATTGAAATTTGCTGATGCGGTTTAGTCTATTTTGATCTGGTCTGAGATTGAAAACAATCCAAGTAAAAACATCATGAGCTTACCCGTGACAGGTAGAAGAGGATAGGCGATGTGTCACGAACTCACAGGACGACCTCTAACTTTTCTAAACTTATATGGACTTCTGTGAATAGACGGCTGAAAGTATAAATGACATAATTACTAGGTATGAAGTTTAAACATGAGGGGATATCACAGCAAAACGAGGGGTGCAAAATTATTTTGCAGACACAAGTCATATAGAAAGAACATAAATGCTATATTGACTCCAAATATCGTCTTGCCTGAAAGGCACCACATCCAAAGTGTAAAATAAAAATAAAAATACAACTTAGTGGAGTTGGCTTGTCCAATCGAAAGGCTCCCAATCAAGGGCAAAGTTTGCAACAGCGTGCATTTGTGTCTCCACAGAATCTTGCTTCCTACTTCGATGCATGTCTTCTGCAGCCAACTTCAGCATGCCTCTTACCACATTCAACCCAAAATTGCTTCTGAACTCTTTTTCATTATCAATAACGTGGACAAATCCCCTATCTAGACCAAATTCGACGTGAAAGTAAGGAAAATCCTTGGGGATAGAAGCCCTCAAACCTTTTATGCTTGTGTCAATAAGCTTCTTTGCATTGTGCTGACTCCATTCGTCTTCTGCTTCATCAATTGCCTGCATTGAATTGTCGGATGGTTAAACAAGATACCTTCAAAGTTCAAACTAGAGAAGTGACAACCATCCAAGGATTCCAAGGAAATGCACAAAGCTAAATTGTTAAAACCTAAGGGGTAATAATGTACCCTCCAACCCCATAAAAGATTGTCTTTTTCTTTCAGCTATATTATTTTTCAAATAATAATGCAGTAACTATTATATTTATAACATAATATCTAGATTGCTTGCCCCTTTTCCAATCATAAGACTGTGCTGTTATGATCCAGCAAGCAATCTTAACAGAACTTCAAATAAATATCATGATATAGCCACATAGTCTTCTTACGTTAATTTTTCCTCCAAAACCTAACATTTAAATAGAAGGTAAAGAGCATAATATATGTGAAGAATATAGCAAAACCTTCTTGAAATAGAGAGGTGCTTGCTTTGCAATATCACGTGGAACAGGAATGCACTCAACTAAACAGTGACGTCTTTGCCTTGCTAGCCCCATTACAGTTTCAAGGAACACTGGGTCCTTGTTTTGCTGTGCAAACATCATGATCAGACATTTCTTGAAATTTCGAATTTCCTCCCACACGTTATTGTCAACGGATCTTGTTGCTGATTCGTGCTGTTTAAGTTGAAAAAGAATCAACATCGTGTATAACAACAGCAAAGCAATGGGAAAAACTAACAAGTTGCTTATAGGCTAGCAAACACAACTGGGAATTAGTACAAAAATAAAAAAGGAACATTTCCTTCTTGATTCAGAAATCACATGTAGAACTAACAATTTCGGGAATTTAAAGATCCACAATCAGAGGGGGGTAGTATATCACTCTAGCAACTAAGTTCGATAATGTAGAAATGCATAAAATATGTTGAACATAATGTTTACCTGCAAAGTTGAAATGCAACAATGACCTGGGACAATGGGCTGCCACTGGGGTAATGTTAAGTATGTGAAATTTGCAATGGAGACAACCAAATGCTTTGGTCTTTTAGGGTTCTCAAAGCAGAATTGACAGCGCTCCTGTTGAGTCACAATGCGCTTCGCAATATTAGTTATCTCCCCAGATTTGCCATCAGTCCCTGCTACTCCTCTCCTCCGAGCCTTTTTCGCAGGACCGTCGTCATAGTCATATTCATCATCTGCCCGACTAGATAAACTATACTGTTGCTGTCGTGCAATCTTGTGAGCCAAATGAAGGTCAGCATCGTCCTCATTCTTCTTCTGTTGACTGGAATGCTCATGCATAATATACCTATAGTACAAAACATGAAAATTGGTAACTTGTTAGGTGAGGGTGCATCAGGGCTCGTATCCATGTTCACACCCACACATAAAGATGTTTTATAATAAAAGAGTATAATTGTATTATTTTGTTTTTCTAAAGTAGGCATGCATCCTGTATTTATACACATAGAACTAAGGTTAAGACTGGTTTTTACAGTAGCGTGTGAGCAACCCACAGTGTAACTTTACAGCTATTCCCATAGTTTACAAATAAATTCAGCAGATGCAATACCTGCTTGTGCTCCCATCAATCCGATATCTGCTGGATTTGTCACCTTTACCATCACAAGCGGCTTGCTTTGCTTTCATTTCCTCTGCTTCTTTCTGTTAAAAAAACATGAGATAATTGACTATGCAGAAAATAATCTAAATGCATGTATAATCGATCTCTAAGCACCAATGCATTGTTGCCATCTTCGATTTCATAAAAGCAAAGCAGCAAGTTCATTTTACATCAATTCCTCTTATCTAGTTTTCAGAGATAGAACAATAAACAGTATAGTAAGAATTCCATGCATCAATAAGAACTTTTAAATAACAAAATACGTAGTATCAAACAACTTGTACAGTAGATAGTATATATAATGGGGTTAACGTTAATAACAATTGGCACAGAATTTAAAGAGTTTCTGAGCATTATTATGGGCAACTAAAGTAAAGATGTTGCACTGAGAAAGTCAAATGCAAGAAACATCAAATGCAGCTAATGTAGAGATAGATTATTGCCCATTCAGAGAATGGTTCATTTTTTTATGGTGGAATAAAGTAGGCTTAGTTGTAGTAAATAGTGATGTTTCTGATATGAGCTCTCTTATATTATTTTATTAATATCATTAATATTAATTTTACTATTATTATTACTATTATTATTGTTTTTGGTGTTGCTGTTGTTACTATTATTACTATTACTAGATTCCTATTTGGTCTAGGGCGTCTAGCAGGACTGTTGGATCTAGTATAAATAGATGTGCTATACTCATTAATAATATGATCAATATTTTTGGAGTTAATTTGAGTCTAGACAAGGTCGGACGACAGCTTCTCTTGTCTAAGGCGGAGAAGCTCATATTTCATGATTTAATTGCTCTTTCATTTCCTCCCTCCCTTGTATCTCTTTCCCTACCGAACATTCTTTTTATTTTTTTCTGCCATTCGATATAAAATAACAGAAAAAAGTGACCAGCAATCAGATAACGGAGTTCAGCCAAAAAAGGGTTGCGGATTCAAAAGATCAGAATCAGCTGTCACGTCCATGCGATGTTTCCACTCGCCAACAGTAATAATACAAATAGGTATAATTTGGGTTGTCAAGAGTTTACAATTGCTGCATTTGACGGTTTAGTGATCGCAGCTTGGGTTTATAGTTTTGCTAATTTTTAATTGCGTGATTGTAACAAAAAACATGATCTCGTGCTTCCATTTTGGTATGTAACAGAAAAATAGAAATCAACGGGGTGAACCGTTGCCCAGATAATCAACGATAAAAATACCGTTGCCCAAAGCCAAAAGGCTAAACTAACTTTATTCCAAGATAATAAGAATGAACCCTGGCGAGGGGTATAAATAGCGTTCTACAAGAAACCCTAATCAAGCCCATATTAATTAAACCCTAATTAAGCCCAAATTAACTCAACTAACTACTCTACTAATAATAGGCCCAAACTAAAACATAACATTAACTTAATAATAATAATTAAACTATAACGACAGCCCTAACTCGGCCCACGGAAGTGGGCCCAAGCCCGGTCCCGCCCCATGCTCTTCCTGCTCTCTATCAATCCATCCTCCTTCAAAATAATCTTGTCCTCAAGGTTGAAAGCTGACAGATGGGGAGCTGAAATTCCCAGACATAGAATAGACTGGAAAATATCCTCTTTTTCCTGAACTCTTTCCTGACCGGTTATTTCACAGTACTCATGTTGTTGGAGGTCTAACTCTTCCTCCTCCTCGGCTATCATTACCCGCAACTGCTTAAAGGGACAGTCGTGCCCCGGTGTAAATGGTTTCTTACACCTAAAGCATAATCCTTTCGCCCTCAATTTTGCGAACTCCTTTGGCGGAAGACGAATGAACTGAGAGTGTGTCGTAGGCTGCCCGGACAGCACTGACTTCGTCCCCGGAGGCTGTCCACTATCCTTCGCAAAGCTGCCCCTTGATCCCTTCAAGCTGCCACCACTGGTAGTCAAAGGAGGACCCGTGTTTGCCATTAAAAAGCTGCAGGAACGTACCCCTGCAGAATTATAATTCGGGCTGCCACTTCCTCCACTTTGGACGGACAGATTATGCTCCACATTGCAAGCTAATTCCATGGCTGTCTCCAGGTTTTCTGGCCGTAATAAGCGCAGCGAACTTCGGATTGCTTCCCCAAGTCCACTCATGTAGTAGCCCAAATAATGATCGTCGGTCAATCCCGGAACTTGGCTAGCCAATTGAACGAACAAGGTATTGTATTCCTCCACCGACCCAATTTGTTTGACGCCGGACAGCCGTTCAAACCTGTTTCCCTGATATCGGGAATCAAATCTGGCCACCAAGGCTTGCTTAAATTCCTCCCAAGATATGCCAAGTTTGCGCGCCTTTAACCACGTCACCCAATAGAGGGCAGCCCCTTCCATAGAAACCCTAGCCGCTGCAACTTGTCTGTCTGGTGGGGTCCTGTTGAGCTCGAACTGCTGCTCCACTCTCGCCAACCACCCAATTGGGTCTTCGCCATCGAACGAGGGAAGTAGCGTTGTGGCTGCGGTGCGCAGTCCGCCATCATCGGAGAAGACAGATGCGACGTGGCCGGAGGAATCGCTCTCGACGGTCACGATGGGAGATTTCTGCGGCGGCACCATGGCCTTCGCGATTGCTGCAAGAGAGGCTGCGATTTTCGCAAGCTGGGCGGCCTGCTCTTCCAGTTTCTGACCTTGTGTGTCAAGTTTTTGTCCCTGCAGATCAAGTCTGTCCTTGCGTGTCAAGTTTTTGATTGATTAGGGCCTGTTCAGCCTCCAATTCTGATAAACGTTCGTTGGTTGATCTCGTCATTCCGGCGGGACGGGATCCGGCAGGTCGGACCAATTGGTATGTAACAGAAAAATAGAAATCAACGGGGTGAACCGTTGCCCAGATAATCAACGATAAAAATACCGTTGCCCAAAGCCAAAAGGCTAAACTCTAACTTTATTCCAAGATAATAAGAATGAACCCTGGCGAGGGGTATAAATAGCCTTATACAAGAAACCCTAATCAAGCCCATATTAATTAAACCCTAATTAAGCCCAAATTAACTCAACTAACTACTCTACTAATAATAGGCCCAAACTAAAACATAACATTAACTTAATAATAATAATTAAACTATAACGACAGCTCTAACTCAGCCCACGGAAGTGGGCCCAAGCCCGGTCCCGCCCCATGCTCTTCCCGCTCTCTATCACATTTCTTCTAGCTGGATAAACAACAATGATGGACGATAACACGACATTTTAGGAATTATTTCAACATGGTGCAAATCAGTAAACGTGAGGCCAAGAACTTTGTGTAAAAATATACTCCCTCAGTCCCAAATTGTAAGATACATTTACTATTTACATGGTCAACATAAATCATTTTTAATCTTTTACTTTATATAACAAAAGTTTATGAAATTTGAATTATTTTTTGTAGGTTTTGTAGCGGTTTTAACGTAGTTTCTGAATATGTCAATTTTATTTTCTAAAACTAATTTGAGTGTTGACAGGGATTAATTTGCTTTATCGTCGGTCAAACATCGTAAACCGTAAAGTATCTTACAAATTGGGACGGAGGGAGTACTAAAATTGAATGTCTCGATTTCTGAAACAATGAAGGCTCTTGCAACTGCTATGGGGAGCCTGACCGCTGCTAGAAGGAAACAATTATCTCATGCTGACACGGCTGCATGACAATCAAAATCTTGATTCCGTCACTCAAAATCTTGATTCCGTCAAAAAGAAACTTGCTAGGGCTAAGATTACTCCTCTAAGCTGGATGTTTAGCCCCGTATGGAAACAATTATCCCGTGCTGACACGGCTGCATGACAAGCTAACGGTTTATGTTATAATTGTGACGAACAATGGATCTGAGAAATTGTAGACCCGGAAGATCAGCACTATAAACCATCTCCTTACTGCAGCCAATGACTCTTACTCCCTCCGGTCCTAAATAAAGTTCAGTGTTTGACTTCACACAAATTAAGGAAAAAAATTGGACTTTACTGTAGAGTACACTGTTTGGCACTGTATTGCACTGTTTGGCACTGTTTTGATGTAGATAATTTGCCAAATAAGAAGGGGAGAAGAAGTGTGAACTTTAATTTGGACCGGCCCAAAAAGGAAAGTGTGAACTTTATTTAGGCCCGGGGGAGTATATTATTATTAATATTATTATTACTAATACAAGTTTCCTATAATTATCAGTAGTACTAGTTTCCTATTTTTATACACTTATATGTATTGTAGTTTAGCTAATATTGCTAATAGCAGTATTGTAATAGCTTTAGGTTTCCTCTAGTACTGGTCTAACAGGACTGCTGGAACTAGTATAAATAGATAATCTCTCCTCGTTAATAATATGATCAATATTTTTGGAGTAAATCCAGGTCAGGTCGGACGCCAGCTTCTCTTGCCTAGGGCAGAAAAGTTCTTCATATTTATTGATTTAATCGTTCTTCTTTTCATCTCCCTACCACGACCATAACAGTTTCTCCTCAATGACTTTCAATCGCGTTGTGTAGAAAAGAAATGAGGTGTTTGACGTTGTTATTTTAGGGTGAAAGTTCTTTTTTTAAACCACAAATAAACATGATCCTTTTCATAGGTATCATACAAAGCTTGAGATTTCCTAACCTAGTGCAGCCCAACAAACTATCACACATGTATCTATGCACGCATGAGTATTAAAAAGGAACTTTTCTCACCATGAGTTTGTCTGCTTCATTGTGCAATCCCTTCATGCGCAATTGCATCACCTTGGCGGCCAGCTGATTTGCACTCAAGGCTGGCTTCACATCGGAGATGTCTTTGCAGCCATTTGTAGATTCCAGATGTGACAACTCATTAAATGTTTCTGACATTGGGTTTGATGAATCACAAACATTGCCAAAACCATCACTTTTTGGATGCATAAATTTAGACATGAAACTTCCATCATTGGCAAATTTATTTGAGTTGGATATTGCAGAAGAAATAATATCAGTATCCCTGCTCGACATATTCTGCTTTTTCTGCTTGCCCCAAGATAATGAATCTTTAAGTTTTGGTACTCTCATTTTTGGGTTGCAAGAAGGTGGTTCCTGTAAGAAGCTTTTGTAAGATATAAAAGCAAGCATCTGTAGCCCAAATATGCGGTGGATAAAAAAACACCTAATAACATATGACACTTTTTTCCTTTCTCTTGCACTTCCGATACACCATTGAAAATATATAAATAAAAACTACTTTCTTTTACGTAAAAAATTCATAGAAACTTAGAAGATAAATATTGTTCACTAAATCATTATAAATACTAGACAGCCACTAGTGGTCTAGTGCAGACACAAGAACAAATTAACAGAACAAATGGTTGGTTAGGATTTGCAAAAAGAACAAACCAAACGAACCAAAAGCTTATGGTTTAAGAAATAAACTTATATGCAACACGGCACAAGAAATAAAACAATTAGGCAGATATAAAGTATGGAACTAAGAAGGTAAAAAGATCACTTTTGTGGTCTAATTATAAAATGCTACATAGAACACAGTAGTCATGCTAAAGGATTACCTTCTCAGCAGATCCTTTTTCATGCCTGTCTGCAATTTCACTCTCTGTTGAGCCTTGCCTCCTACTTTTGATGGCATGAAGATGAGCATGGGTGGGGGCAGCTTTACAGGATGCAACTGAAACAGCCAGTTGACTAAGTGAGCCCCACCGCTCTTCAACTATCTGTTAAGATAACACCTACTGCATTATTATTTGGATACATGACATTACTAAACAATAATGACATCAGCAGTTTGGGCGTATCTACCTCATCCAGCTTTCGCCCTTCACGTGCTGCTTGTTCTTGAGCTCGCTTTAAAGATTTCAGCCTCCAGCTTGCACCTCCATCACCAACAACTACTGAAGACAAAAGTTGTTCAACACCGGCCTTTGTTCCTTCTGAATCTACTGGATAACCACTTCCATTATCCTTCAGATACGGATTTAGTTCTCGTGGATTTACTTTTTGGGTCTGAATCAGAAGACAAAATTTGTTAATCCAACTGCACACAAGGGAAAAAATCATCACATATAAGTATATGTCATACGGAGTATTATTTTAGAGGTAGCATATCTTGTAATACTTGAGATTTAATTTATTAATGGTACTACTCTTATTAACAAGATGCATCTCCTTTCAAGGAAGCTCATCACCTGAGAAGTTTCTCAAGGCATGCACGAGTGAGGACAAAGTGCGCGTTAAAGGCTTGTGGAGGTTTGTGAGGACAGTACTAGAAGTCTGTTAGAGGTCAGAAGTAACTACCTTGGGTCCTGCGGGGTCGAGGTGTTACATATCTTCCAGACAAAAAATACGGCATTGTACCAGTTTAGGGCAGATGGCCATAGAAAAGATGCAATTTTCATGCCTTTACAGGACATTGGCACGTAAAAGGCATGTGAATCTTTGAAATTAATTCAAACTTTTGAAGTAATGGTGATGCTCAACTGTTCATTGTAGATTAGACTCAGTGAATCATTACGAGAGTCAAACACTCAAACCTATTTCAATTGCGATTATGATTTGATATAATTGATAACTTCAAAATGAGCATTCTAAGTGGGCAGAACAGCATGTACAGATGTACTAGAAACATACCTCCTCGGCTTGAGCTTGAGCTTCATCTAATTGAATGTCATCAATTTTTGGAGCCTTCTCTGCACTTTCTATCGGCCTAAACATCCACTCCATTCCAATTTCTTTCCTAACAACCTCATTATATGGTTTGCCACCACTGCCATCAGTATCATCAGATGAAGATCCATTGGATGAAATGTCTTTTGTTCGAGTTCTTTCTTTAGTTTTGGTATAGTATCTGACTTCATCATTTGAGCTGCTTCTTCGGTGATTTCTTTTCTGGCTTTTCTTTCTACTAGTGTGTCTTTTCTTTTTCTCACAAATGTCTGAATCCATATTACTATGATCTGAACTTGAGGAAAACCCCTCATCTGAGTCACGCCACTTCTTTTTATCAGATGATATTTTTACTACTTCATCATCTGAACTGTCATAGTGAGACCTCTTATTTTTAATATGCTTTGTCCTTTTATGACCAGATCTTTTTCTGTGCTTTTGTAAATAATCTGAGTCCTTATTTGTTTCCTGACACCAAATTAACACAATACAATTAGCAAAATTAGATTAATCTAAAAGCATGTGCACAAATTAAATAAAATGAGCGTATATACTACCAATATCACAATATTAGAAAAACTATAAACTACTGCAAATGCCTGCAATGTTAGATTTTGGGCACAAGCGCTTACCGCTTAGTTTACTTTGGGAAAGCACAAATTTAGAAAGAATGAGATTTACCTCATCTAGTTGATCACGGGGGATAAACTTTAACTTTGAAAGCATACTCTTTCAACTTTGACCTGAATTCCTGGTACGAAAACAACAACAAGAATCTAAACTGAGTTCTGATTCTTACCCTTAATACCCTCAATGAAGGTTTGCTTGCTGACACAAATGATTCAAGCTTCTTTCAACAAGTCAAATTAAACAATAACTAAACACACACAGAATGTAATTGAATTCACCTAGAATGTAATTTACTGTTTACACACTTGAAGTTTTAATTGAATACACCCAGAATGTAAATGACTTCTACAAATCCATATTCAATAAACCCAAACTAAAAATTAAACAATAACTAAAGACACAAAAATTTTATCATTTAGTGAGTAATTGAATACGCCTAGAATGTATTCAAGGTGAAGATCATCTACCTGGCTCAGACTAGATTATCAGAAAATTTAAGTCCAATTTACGTCGTGCCATACCCATGGTGAAGATGATCTTTTAGCTCTCTGGATCGGAAATGCACACTAAAATATAATTCTAGAACTAATTGTGCACACCTATTTCCCACACTAAGATTATTTATTCCCAAATGATAAAACTGGAATAAACTTTATTTGGAGTAGTTGTGCAAAAAAGAAGAAGAAGAACTAGATATCTTGAATTCCCACACTGATGAATTAGGGCAAACGAGCAAACTAAAGATTTACATAGTTATTGCTAGTTGATTAAAAGTTGAGAACTTATTTATTTCTTTTGCCTGAATCATAGAAAGCGGAACCGCGGACGTTAGTGGGAAGATTTTCTGGTGGCGTGCGGTGGCCGTTGGGTGCAGCCGTCGCCCAGACGAAGAAGAAAACGTAGCTGCGCAGATAATGAAAACGCCGGTGCAAGAAGAGAAAGATAGGGAGTTTTTTTTTCATTGTTTCACGGCGATGAATAGGGGTGGCAGCGGGTCAGATTTATACCGGGTGAATGCTCATCCGTCGTCCACCCGTTAATTTTTCATAGTCCACCCACCTCCATCATCCATTAAAATTTACATCCACATCCAACCCATCCATCATGAACGGGTTATCAGGTGGATCGGGTGAGTAACGGGTGAATACAAAAGGTCAAACTTGAAAGACAATAAATAAATTACAAAGAGAAATTATGACAAAAATTAAGAATTCATTGATAAATAACTACAAAAACTTGAGCAATTAAGTATATTACAATCATTAATTCCTTCACTGCCGATGCTAAAGAAAGAACTAATTGTCAAACAAAATAGATATAAAAATTTTTCAAGTTGTCAATGCTTTCAAACATCTTAATTTAACTAATCAATAATTTAACATGATTTGTGTGTGTTCCTGTCCCTGCCTCACCACCCAAGCCTGGAATCCCCTAGTAAAGTTAGGTTTGATTTTTACGTTTGAAAATCAAGAATCCAGTGGTAAAATGCTAACTAGTTCAGTCCTAACTCCAATTTTGGAGGAACATGAACTGGTATTGGGCTGATTCCGATGTCAGCTTTGCTTCGGTGCTCATTATTTTCGTTCCAAATATGGAACCTCACCACCTGATTCCAGTTGGGTCCGGTTCTGAACCTGACCACCCTTACGTTTTGCTTCTGGGCATGACTGCATGAGAGCATATGAAGATGAGTAGATCAAATACATTGCTTCTCGAGACATGGGGATTAACCCCACCTGCTCATGGTGCTTTTGGGGTTACTGGCAACTTTTTTTTCACCCTACTGTGAAGATGAACTTCAATATCTAACATTATTATCTCAGTAGATTATGGTAAATTAGCAACTTTAAGTCTAATAACAGTAGTATATTTTTCTAAGATTGAAGTAATTAGATTTGAAAGGCATATATGAAGATAATTCAAATTACCTTGAGTCCCTTAAGAAAGTAGCAAGCGGAAAGATTGAGAGGACGAGAGAGGGGCAGAGGGGCAAAGCAGGAGCAGACCAGCAGCGGAACTCGAATGGGATGGTGACTGGCGAGTGGGAAGTGGTGAGGAGTTGCTGACTGTAGGTGGCCGTTGTCTGGAGAGTAGAGAGTGGAGAAGGAACGGTTGGGGATTATAGGCGATGGTTGAACTGCTGAAGTCCGCTGAGCAAGTGAGGAGGTTGAAGCTCGATGTTTCGATGATTCGGGGATTTAGGGCTAAAGGGATTAGGGCTGGGGCGCTGGGCTCCTATTTTAGGGGTGACCTCAATTCGGATTTCACAAGATTTTAAAGGATTCAGATTTTAATGGATTTTAATGGAATTGAATAGAATCTGTTGTAATGGATTCCATGGAATTGAAAATCCTCTGTCTAAAATCTATTGGATTCCATAGAAATGAAACAGAATCGTTTTTGGCTTCCTCCGCAATTGAAATTGATTCTGGATCTTGGATGGGTTAATAGTCTTTGATTTCAATTTCAAAGAAATAAGAATCGTCTTTCAATCTCAGCTATCGTGCATAGTCAAAAACTTCAATATTACCTTTGAACTTCAATTTCAGTGAAACAGAATCGTCTCCAGACTCATATCACAATTTAGCAAATTCCCACTAGGCCTTCAAGTGCAGAAAGATCAATAAAGGGTAGAGGGGGAGGTGATACCGATGCTGTTACAAGTTACGGAAGAAGAGAACAAACAGGTCGATCGGCAACAAGGCTTCTCCCGCACAGTGCTTCTTTCTCCCTTTTCTTTCCTTTGTATTTTAATTTTAGCTTTGGAAATCGACGGGGATCCTTAGAAATCCAGAGTTAAAGAATCCAAATTCAGGAGACCCAAATTCATATTGGAATTCTAAATTCCTTTAAAATATGTTAGTCTCTACAATGCTACTCCTTAGTTACGTACTATATCTTAATATATTAATATTAATTAATTATTATTATTATTTTTAATATATATTATTAAATAGATATTGATATATAGAGAGAACTTATCCTGTCCGAACGTTCGGATAGGAGGCACCGTCTGAACATCGCCGTTTGGGGCGGTTCTCGGTCGAATTTTTTGATTAAATTTTTATGCCATGTTACTCATCAAGTCTAGTTTATCCACACAAAAATTCTGCTCAAAATTCGATCGGGAAGACCTTCAAATGATTTTTTGAAATTCATTGCGCCAAATTATACATAGAAAAACGCAGTCAACTTCAAAAAATCATTTGAAGACCATCTCAATCGAATTTTGAGCTGAAATTTGATATGGATAAACTAGACTTGATGAAGAACATACCATAAAAATTTCATCAAAAAATTCGACCGGGAACCGGCTTAAATGGCATTGTTCGAACGTTCGGACTTGAACATTCTTGTGTGTGTATGGGAGGGTTCTTGTGAGATAGAGCTTACAGGAGAGAAAAAAAGAACAAAGTTGGGCCATTCATTTATTCAATGGTACGGCTCACATATCAAATATCCGTGATTAACATAAGCACATGAGGCATGCATGATGAATTACATATTTGGTAAGAGCCCATTAAAATAGCATTTAAAGGGTATTTCTGTCAAACTAGTAGACAATCCCAGTTACACACATGATTGTATTGTTGGAATTTTCCTAAGAATTAGGAAAATTAATTTGCATGGCAAGCCACTTCCTCGTATGTTATTTTCGAAAAATATGTACTTCCTTTAATTTGATTAGCTATATTACAAAATTCAGTGATTCAATTTTAGTACATATGTCAATTTTTTGCATTCTACAATTGAATTAATGCACTGTTATTCAATTTTATTATTGTGCACTTCCATATGTTTTTAATACATATGTAAATAAATATGCATTGGCGCAAACCAAAAATTATCATGTGCATTTTTAATATAAACAAAAGTGCATTATTATATCACATGCATTTTGTAAATTTCTACGTTTGCATTTTCTAACAAAATGAAATGCACTCTAGTGAGAACCACTCTTAAAATGAGAACCCAAATTTGAGGTGGTTCTCAGTGGTGGTATTTTTGGCTGAAATTTTTTGCGTATGTTCCTCGTCAAGTCTAGTTCATCCATACCAAATTTCAGCAAAAAAATTCAATCGAGAAGGTCATCAAATGATTTTTGAAAGAAAACTGGTCCGGAATATACATATAAAATGCAGTTATCTTTCAAAAATCATTTGATGAGCTTCCCGGTTGAATTTTGCTAAAATTCGGTATGAATGAAATAGACTTAATGAGGAACATACACAAAAAATTTCAGCCAAAAATAACAACGAGAACCACCTCAAATTTGGGTTCTCATTTTAGGAAGGGTTCTCACTAGAACCCTCCCGTATATAACACACATATACATATATGAGTAGTGTTTCGGTCAGGAATTCCTGATCGGAAGCGCCGTCCGGACGGCGGCGTTTGACCGCCTTCCCAGTGGAATTTTTTGATGCAATTTTTATGGCATGTTTTTCATCAAATCTAGTTTATTCACAAAAAAATAGCTAAAAACTCAATCCGGAAGGTCCTCAAATCATTTGAGTTTTCAACTGAATTTTTGTGTACATAAACTAGACTTGATGAAGAATATGCCATAAAAATTTCAGCAAAAAAATCCACCGGGAAGGCAGCCAAACGCCGCCGTCCGGACGACAGTTCCCGTCCGGGATTCCGGACATGAAGATCTCTCTCTCTCTCTCTCTCTCTCTCTCTATATATATATATATATATATATATATATATATATATATAACGGAAAAGCGTGGGGGAAGTTTGGGAGGGAATTTGGGCGGGATTAGCTCAATACGTTTGAAATGTTATATTGGTGATCTAAAGGATTAGCAAACAATAATGCAGTAATTATGACGGCTTGAGGTTGTTTATCTTCTCCATGAAAAGGTGTGTATGAAAAAATGTGTTTCACGTTGCTCAACATTTATGCATTGAATGTGCTATCACATTGTTCAACATGTGGACATTTAATGCTTGCTACCAAAATGTGGCTTTTCATATTCTAGCATAATGCTACCAGAATCTTTCTACTATAAATACGAGCTAACTTTTCTACTCCTCTACTGACATATAACGAAGCTGGCCAAACTGTTCACCCACAACAAAGCCCTGAGATCAACAGTTCTATACAACCTTGCTTATACAAATAATTAGGGGTTCCACCTTTTTACAACTTCATCATTGCTTGCAGCCCAAAGAAATGGCTACAAAGAAGCAAAAACATGAAATCAACATTTCTGTAGGAGGGTATAGAACCTTCAGATCTTTGCCTAACACAAACCATGATATTATTGTTCTCATAGTTACTGTAAGAAATCTGATTTCTACACATGATTGGTGTTTAGATGTCCCAACTTTTGGTTTGTAGATTACTTCTTCAGACATGCATTGGGCATTAAGGTAAAATACACATGAAATCTATCACAGGTAAAGGTAAAATAAGATTCATACATTTAAACTTATAGAACTACTTTAATAATTTGAAATGTTTGTTTGTTATTATCAAAAACTATTACTGTGTCAACTCGTGAATTGCTCTCTTATCGTCAAACACATTTTCTTTAGTTAAAACATACCGTTCTCATGAAAATTGTAGTTTAAACATATAAGAAACTAAAATGTGGAATGTATAAATCACATGCAGAATGTATAAATCACATTGAATATTCGAATGTAGAAATCACACTAAATCCCAATAATCTTTTATTTTGTTGTTGTATTAAAGATTAATAATATCTCATTCTAAATTTTTATGTGCACATGACCGTACATATCACTCTAAATTTCACTGGTATTTTTTCTTCCGCACAAGTGTGATATAATTAGAAATAAATCGCCATGAATGTGAATTAGATTAAGCAGCATTAATAAATATCTAGATAAGTGGTTAAAATAATGCAATATGACGATTTTACTTTCCTTCGGTGTTTTTCTCAAATACTCCGTAAGACACTTATTGAACCACACTCTTTCTTTTGTCCGACTAATAAACCAGAGAAGAACTATCCAAATTAACTCCCAAACAAAGCAAAAAACATTACAGTCCTATCAAAACTCAATACCACAGTCTTAGTAATTGCATATATACCTCTTTGTGTTCTAAAAAATAAAAAATAAAATAGGGTTAATTATTTAAAGTTGATTCATTATGATCGCGTATGATGTAGTAATTAATCTTTTATTAAAAGACAGTAGTCACTTTATGAGCATCAACTTTGGTGTCAAAACAATCAAATAAGTAAAAATAAAACAAAAGGCACAATAGAGAAGAATCTGTGTCAAAAATTAACAAAGATGTATAGTATCTTTATCTAGAAAAAAGGTTTCAAATTAATTTCAGTTTGATCATGTCGTAATATCAAAAAAGGTTTCAAATTAATTTCAGTTTGTTCATAATTTCCAAGATAGAGTTGAGTTCTAATAAAAATTTAGCCAACATTTTAGCTTTAAGAAGGATTTGTGGCATTGTTGTTTTTGAATTGAAGCAAAAAAACAATCTTTCAGCATATCCCACATGCACATGCACATTTGAATCATGAAAGATGACTACTCTACATGCGTGCATATAACAGAAATGCAAAACTTTCCTTATTTTAAAAAACTCCACACCACCATTCTCTTCTCTCTAGCTTTTATCTATTTTGGGTTTGTATTAAGAAGAGAAATGTATTTCAAGAAAAAACTTCATTGAGATGCTTCCTTCATCCCTTTGTTAATATATTCCATGTCCCCATTACTATGCTTAAAACCAATTTCTGATATCTATCCTATGATGCTCACAATGCAAATTCAACAATAATTACTCATTAAATGTGTGTATAAGTCTTTGGGGTAAAATCTGTAATAAATACGGAGTATAAATTTGGATATACGAAATAGTTGGATAATCATGACAGTTTGTTTTTCACAAATCAATTCTTGTGTAATATGTTTTCTGAAGCAGCACGTTTAGATGCAAGCATTCCACATAATTAACAAGCAATTCCGGATCATATTACTCAAAGAATCACAATTTTTGAGTTCTTATATAATAAAATATAAATTTGAACAGAATTTTTTTCAAGCAAATGAATATGAAGTGTACGAACTAAATACATCTTTTTAGATGAAAAAGAAAGTATATTAAAGTACTTCAGAATTGCATGAAAAAGAAATTAATTAAAGTCATTAAAATGTAGAACTTACCTATGAAAACTTTATTGACGATTGGGCGTAGTAAAGGTGCTGAGAGTCGTCGGAGGCGTCGAATGTATATGATGACCGGTTGTCGGTGAGGACAACACAGTGGCGATCGATCTATGAGCTTAATGGTGGCGACCGGCGAACATAGAGGGTGCAAGTGATGCCAAAAGAAGATGGAAAATAATGATCGGTTGACGCAGGGGCGAGTGCCAATGGCTATGGGTGTGGTCGAAGAAGATGTTGAGGCGGGTGTTGGTGAGACGATTACACCGTACAGATGCGGAGGTGAGGCGGTGGCTTTTGGGATAAGAATGTTACGCTAGGTTGGCGTGAAAGAAATTTGGATTTGGAGAGTAATTCATGTACATTTTGGGCTTTGGATTGTGGACTTTTGGGCTGCATTTTGGTTTGGATTTGTCAATTATTAAAAATATTTTAAATGAAACATGGGTAGTATAGATATGAAATACATTCTCATTAGATTGGAGTAAATTCAAGTAATGAATCAATACTAATAGTATTAATTCTAGCCATATAGAATTCTCCCCAGAGTGGTTATTACCAGATTAAGTAAACATGTTTTGGAAGCAAAAAATTTGACGGGATAAAGTGCAAATGAAAATCTATGTTTAAAAAACTGACCCGGTCAAGCCGGATCAACCCGGTCAAGCCGGGTCAACCCGGACTGAAACTCGATTCTGTTAGTTAAAACCCGGAAATGGTCAAAAACTGGAAAAATCGGTACAGACCCAGACCATAAAACCCCGGTTTGGATTGTCTTTTCCCCAAAAAAAACTTTTTTTAAAAAAAAATTAAAGCATTTTAAACCAATAAATTACAATTTCAATACCCTAAAGAGAAACAATATGCAATATATTTATATACTATTTGTTTTTTTAACAATGAAAATCATATCAAATATGTGACAGGGTTGCTTTTCGGATTGGTTGTTTAACATAGGTTGAAAGGAGTTTTTTTGAAAGGAGGTGAAAAGGAGTTAAGAACGAGAATGTCCTTGAACTAGACGGTTTGAGGCTGTCTTTAAAGTTTCAAAGAACATAATTTCTTCTGATTGTCTAATATCCATTGACTCTAATATCGGTGGTTTGAAAATAGTTATATGTCACAAAAATCGCAAAAGTATCAATGTAACAACAAATGTTGTATTGATGCAAGTATTTTGAAATTTGTAAAACATTTATAACTTTCATCCTTCAATATGCTTTTATTATTGTGGAAATCTTTTGTTTCTTAGATTTTGTTCTGTTCATTTATATTTACAGTTATTACATTATGACAATCTAATTTATATGTTACAAATTATTAAATTACATGAATAATTCACATGGTTCAAAAACTTACTTTTTCATATGAGTAATATATTTTCCCGTGCATCGCACGGGTAGAATACTAGTATGTGTGTGTGTGTGTGTATGTATGTATATATATGTATGTATGTGTGTGTGTGTGTGTATATATATATATATTCATATGTATGTATGTATGTATGTATGTATGTATGTATGTATATATGTATGTATATGTATGTATGTATATGTATATATGTATATGTGTATATGTGTATATGTATATATGTATATGTATATATATATGTATATGTATATATATATTGATGGAGTATATGGGTCTGAGCCTCAGGACCCACATACTCGGAAGAACAGAGCACAAGACAACAGAGTGGCGCCCTCATCGGCCAAGACGCCCCCGTCGGCCGAAAAGGAGCCAACTCGGATTATGGTCCTGAGTCCAAGGAACCCGGGTGCCCTCGTCGGCCGTGCCCTCGTCGGTCGTGCCCTCGTCGGCCACGAAGACCTCACAGAATCGGATTTTATACTTATTCATTCATACATCCCATTAGTGGCTTTGTATTCGGCCCAGTAGCGGTCCAGTTGTAAATGGGCCTCCCAAGCCCAAGACTTGGGAGCCCAACCCTAATTTTCTCTATAAATACTCCCATTGGGAGTAGTTATAGGGGTTACAAAATCATTCTATTGAAGCATATTATTGCACTTCTCTCTCTAGCTCTCACTTCTCTCTAGAATCTAGGAGTTAATACTCCATCAATTGGTGCTCTCGTTGAGAGCTAGAACAATCAAGTTAGCACCCTTCGTCGCTACCAAGCACAGCTAACCACTGATCATGGGGAGAACTAAGTCAAACCGCAACCTCGTCAGCAGAGCCATCCCTGAGGACCAAGAGCCCAGGGAGCACGATGAGGACGCCACGGCCGACCAGGTCGGCGGAGGGGACCTCTTCCAGGAGGCCTTCAACCTCACGACGGACCTCCGCAACCAACTCAACGGCGGTGCCCCTGATGCCCGCCTCGGCTTGGACAAGAAGCGAGCTGAGAAGACGGATCACGCCCCGGCCCAGCCTATGGCCGCGGCCTCTCCGTCCGTAGATCCTCAAGTCCAGGCCGCACTGTCGGCTATCATCGCCAGCCTAGCTCAGAACCCCACCGTCCTCAGCGCACTCTTGCCAAGGACCGGGGGAAACATCACTCCACCTCCTCATCCTCAACCGTTGGCCGTCCAGATAGGCAACAATGAGGGGGTTATGGCCCAGGACACGGCGTCGTCCCACTCCCACCCTGTTTCCCCTCTTCGGCCCGGGCAGACCCCAGCGCGTGGAAAAGCCTCTGCCTTCAATAGGCTAGGTGACACGCGCCGTCGTCCGGTTTCGGAGAGGATGGCGGGACGGATTGGTGATCCTCGTCCTGGCTCGCCAAGGGAAAGCTTGGGGTCTGTGTCCCGGACAGCGGACCAGCCCCGCCCGGACAAGGGCAAGGGGAAGTTGCACGAGGATGACGTCCGTCACCAGATCAACGCGGCTCACAATGAGCGCCTGAGGAACCAGCCGGGCGCCGCTACGGCCGACAGGGACCCCCGGGACGAGGTCATCGCCCAGCTGGAAAGGAGGCTGGCTCAGATGGAGGCCAAGCAGTCGGCCAACGTCCCTACGGCCGGCGCCTCCAATGACCCCGGCCTCAGCGCCCTCATGAACAAAGTTAGCGCCCTGGAGAGGGAGCTGGCCGAAGGGCGGGGCGACCCCATCATCCAGGTCAGGACTAGGACCCCTTTCACCTACAGGGTCCTCTCGGCCCCCATCCCTGAGAAGTACAGGGGGAACGCCATCAAGTCCTACGATGGCCGATCAGACCCCCAGGAGCACTTCAGCCGTTACCAGAACAACATGCTGATGGTGAACGCGTCCGACGAATACCTCTGTCGTTGGTTCCTCTCTACTCTCGAGGGGCCAGCGTACGAGTGGTTCAACGGACTGCCAGAAGGAAGCATTGACTCATGGCAGGAACTCGCCCAGCGCTTCCTCACTCACTTTGCCGGGAGGAAGCGCGCCAAGAAGTATTTCACCCACCTCCTCTCCGTCAAGCAGCAGCACGAGGAGTCCCTCCGGTCATTCATCGATCGGTGGACGAGGGAGACCGAGGAGGTCGAGGGGGCCGATGAGCGCACCCTCCTCGCCTTGTACCAGGGAGCCCTCCGCAGCTCCCCGTACGCTAGGAGCCTCATCACCGACCCCCCGAGGTCGTACGTCAAGGCGCTCCAGCGCGGAGGCTTGTATGCCGACGCCGACGAGCTCCACAATCACAAGAGAGAGGGGGGCCATCCCCCCAAGAAGACAAATCTTTCGCTGGCCCCGGGTCCGTCCCCAGCTGGCCAGGGTGCCCAGGGCCGCCACGGCTCTGGTGGACAGAGCAAGAAAGACCGCCACTGGCGGCCGAGGCTGGAACGGCCGGGGGTAACCCTCACCCACCCGGTCGGCACCATCCTCGATTATGCCGAGAAGCACGGCCTCATCGAGCAGGCTCCTCGGCCGGCCGAGGAGATCCTAGCCATCCAGCAGGGCGGCACATACTGCCGGTTCCACAAGAACTCGTCGCACAACACCGATGATTGCATCACATTGAAGAAGGCCATCGAGCGCCTTATTCGCCAGGGGGAACTCTCCCAGTTTGTCAAAGGTGGCCCACGCAAGAACACTTGGGTAAACACCGGCAAACATGGGGGCGAACCCTCCGCGAAGAAGCGGGAGATTGGTAGACTCAGCGACGACGAGGACTTCGAAGAGCCTCTGCCGAAGAAGAATCACATCCACCTCATCGTAGGTGGGAACACTGGGGGGGACTCCGCCACTCAGAGAAAGAAATGGGCCCAATCCCTTTACATTGGGGAGGTGTCCCACGTTCCCCCCCCAGCCGAAGAAGCAGCGAACGGAGGCGATCACCTTCACCGACAAGGATCTGCCTCCGGGTACGGAATCACACAGGGACGCCCTCGTCATCCGATGTGAGATCGGTGACTCCATCATCCACCGTACTTACATCGATACGGGGAGCTCCGTCAACGTGATGTACCTTGACACCTTCAAGCAGCTGAAGCTGGACAGAGCTTTGCTGAGGCCGATCAAGACCCCGTTATCTGGCTTCACCGGGGACTCTATCGACGCCGAGGGCACGATAGTCCTCCCCGTGGAGGTCGGTGATGGCCCCCACCACGCCAAAATTGACATGGAGTTCATGGTGGTCAACCTCCAGTGCGCCCACAACCTGATCTTGGGGCGGCCAGCGCTGGAGGACTTGGAGGCCATCATCTCCATGAAGCACCTATGTTTGAAGTTCCCCACCAATGACGGCATCGGCTACGCCAGAGGAAATCAGAGGATAGCCAGAGCTTGCTACCTCAAGCTAACGAGGCCGTCCGAAAGGGAGGGCCAGAGGATAGACACCATCACGGCCGCCGTCGCCATGGACGAGGAGAGGCCACATGCGGAGCCGGCCGAGGAGGTCGAGGAAATCCCTCTGGATACCTCCCGGCCGGAGCGGGTTCTCAGGGTCGGAAAGCAACTCCCCCAGGACCAACGAGACGCCATCCTCCTCGTCCTACGGTCATACGCCGTTGTCTTCGCGTGGGGCCCGGACGATATGCCAGGCATCAGCCGCAAGGTGATCACTCACCGGCTGACCGTCGATCCGGCCTCCGCGCCTGTCAGACAGAAGCGGCGCCACTTGTCCGCCGACAGGCGGGACTTCGTCAAAGGGGAGGTCGCCATGCTCCTCTCAATCAGACACATCAAAGAGGTGAAGTACCCGACATGGTTGGCCAACGTCATCCTCGCACAAAAACCGCCGACGTTCAGAATGTGTGTCGACTACACTGACCTGAACAAGGCGTGTCCCATGGACCCGTTTCCTCTCCCCAACATTGATCAGCTGGTGGACGAGACGGGGGGTGCGAGTTGATGTCATTCCTCGACGCTTTCAGAGGGTACCACCAAATCTCCATGCAT